AATAGTCGGATGTGGGCTGGATAGCCGAGCCGGATGGACCATATCTGAGGGAAAACAGGGTCTAGTCCGTGGGAAATGGGATTTATCCGAGTGCAGTAGGATATATCCGAGAGTCTGGGAGGTTAGTCTGAGTGTCAGTGGACTGTCTCCGAGGGAGAAAGGAAAACCTCTGAGAGAAAGTAAGGATTAGCCGAGGAGGGACAAGTGGTCCGAGAGAAAAAGGAATATCCGGATGGAAAATGGAAAACACCTCGGATAAAGGCGGTTTATCCGAGTGGGAAGGGATTTGGGCTGTGGGCCAAGTGTTTGGTCGGCTATTTTGGGGTTTATCAAATGAATGGTCGAGCCTGTACAGGGGATAGCCGAGAGAATCAAATCGGACCGGGATAAAACTTACTGGAACCAGGAAAACGTCGGATAAGTCCGGGTTACCTAGGGTTTTGCGAGTATTTAAGGGATTTTGAGACTTTTCTCGGGAGAAATGTGTTTATTCGAGAGCAATAAAGCAAAGAAAGAGAATAGTCGAGAGAAAACCCTAAGAAAAACAGTTTATCCCGAGGACATCCGAGAGAGATCAGGTTATCGCCGAGCAGAACCGACCATCGCCGAGATAAACTGGTAAGCGATCGGATATTTCCCTAAGTGTTGAGTTTTCATCGGATAACCTCGAGCTAATAGCCTTGTTTTGTGGGGTTTCTGAGGGAAAACAGAGTTTAACTCGAAGAAAGGTGAACGGATCAAGAGATAGCCGAGGGGATAAGGATCGGATCGTACCGAGAGCCGAGAGATTCTTAGGGAGATCGAATATCTTCGTTTTGGTGCGGTTTTCATCGGGATTTCTTCTGACCAATCTGTTTCCAGCCTTGTTTAAGGTGAGTGCGTGACTGTGGTTGGTGTCTAGGACCGTAGGATTGCTAGGGTTGAATGTTTGCATGTTGATTGTGTGATTTTCATGTTATGTGTTTAGAACTGATAAGCAATCTTTATGTTGTGATGTATTGTGGTGTTTACCGTGGCATATATGATGTTTAGCTAACCTCAGGGTAATCCGGATCATGTACTAGCTTAGGAGATGTGGGATTCTCGCTGAAGTAGACATGAGTCTTAAAAAGGGATTGATCTTGGTTGGTTAGGCTAGATGATCATTGCCGTTTGATATTGTTATGTCTATTGCGAATTGATTGTGTTGAATATTGAATCCGAAAGTATGATTGCGTGTTTGGTACTGACCAGATGTTACGGGATGACCGTACTCACTAAGTATTTATGAAATACTTATGCCTCTCATCTTGAGTGTGCAGGTACTAAGCAGTAAAGGGGCGAGACCAGGCGGCAGTGATGGATATGGATGGATCGGGACTGGGTTTTAATTATGTTTAAGACGTTGTGCTTCGTCTTATGGCTTTGGTGTTTGACTAGTTAGGTTGCTAGATGATCGTTTGTATTCATTAGCGAATCATTGTGATTTGTTTAAGTTAGCCCTGAATCCTGTTTTAGTGTTTTTATGAAAGTTAAATGAATGAAATGAGTTGCTTTATATTTCGCTGTGTATTGATAAGAAAGAATAAGTATAAAGAAAAAGTTTAAAAATATGGCTAAGTATAGAAACCGAACATAGAGGATATAGTGGGACACAGCCGCGGTACGGTTTACCGGGTTGGATTACCACATATCTCCTCCTCTCTGTTTTTCGGTATCTTTGGTCTCCATATTGCTTTTATAGCTAGCATTTTCACTTCGTCGTGGTTGGTACCCGTATCCTCACGATTTCGCGAAAAGAGATTAGCACTCGGCTGATTAATTCTGTTCCAAAGAGATTAGCTACGCTCGTGCCTCTTCTCACTGAGCTTTCTGCGAAGATCCCTCTCAGTATTACTCTTATTTATCCTCCATCGATCTTCGTATCCCAGATTGTCTTCATTATTCCTCTGTTTTAGCTCCCCCACTTGTCTTTCTTCTTGCCCACGCGCTCTTTCTCTATCTCCTCCCGTGTTTAGCTTACTCATCTTAGTGAGATGTAGCTCCGGACCCTGATTCTTCGCATTATACCTTTCCCCTGTTTTCCTACCATATTCTCTTGTTTTGTTCTGAAATCCTTTGTCTCCGCGATCATTCCTTAGGGGGGATCTTGTTCGTTTGAGGTTATTCTTAAGGCCATTATGGTGGTGTATCGAGGGCATTATGCTCTTCTCAGTCTCATCACTACCCTTACTGTGGATCATCATCTGATCGGTAGGTACTTCTAGGCAGGAACTTATTTCGTGCGATATACGCTTACACTTGAAACAGAAGCGTTGTAGCCCCTCGTATTCAAAATCTATCTTCCCAATATCTCCGTTTGGAAAGCCCACACATCTTTCAAACTGGAGAAGCTCATCTACATTAAAAGACACTTGGAGTCTTGCCCTCTTGCATTCGTTAGAAGAACTCGTCCTAAAGCTTTCCCGATAGCGTGGAAGGTATCATCATTCCAGAAATGTACAAAAACTCCAGTGACTCTCAGCCAAAACGGTATTCCATTTAGGAAATCTTCTCTCATTGAAGCTTCCCATCTTTCGAATGCAAAATTTTATCGATTGAAATGGCATGGTCTCTCTTTTTAAAACTTTCGCTTTACTTTCTGATAAAAAAGCAATAGTAATAATAATAATAATAATAAATATATATTTCTGTTATGATTACAAACGTGTTAGAACTGAAATTAGATCGATTTGTATTTACTTATGATGACAATTATATACGTTAAAAATTGATGTATTTATTTAATAGGTATTCTATTCTTAATTTATTTTTAATATTGCAAATTATTTTAATATTTATATTAAATTATTGGTTTTTTTACTTTGTTTTTCATATCTATCTTTTTGGATTTAGTTAAATCTATAATCTTTTTTGTATCCGAGATCGTAGGATGTTAAATTAGTTTTTATCCATAATACAATATGCCAAAAACAATTATGAACATATATAAATTATTATCAACGACATGTATTATACGGATTAAAATTCAAATAATAAGATAAACACCAACAAAAACTTCTAAACTACATATTTCATGCATGCATGTTATAATAAAAAAAAATATCATTTGAAATGAGAAACTCTTTATATGTGGATTCCATGCATTACGTAGAAACAAATCATCATCAGCCACTAATAAAAAAAAGTTGATTACATCATTTAATTTAAATATTTGCATTACTTATAATTAATTCAAATACATTTTACATCATTTATATAAATGATTTTGAAAGTGGTGATGCAAATAGTTTACATCATGTTAAACAAATAATATTAATATTTTTAGATTTGTATCAGTTATAAAAAGTGATGTTAATATTTGCATCAATTAATATACATGATTGTGGATACAGAAATCCACACTCAAAAATTTATGTTTTTTGTAAGGGAATAAACTTAAGAGAATTGAGGGCTAGATTCTCTCGAACAGATTGACTGTATAAGCTAGCACTAACTGAAATAAGGACTTGATATTAATCGGTTGAATGAAACGGTTACAAAAATTTTGATGGAAAAGATGAACTGAAAAGAGCTCTGAGAGCAGTTACAGAGTTTTCGTGTGTAAAAAGTGTAGAAGAATACCAAGCCGAAGATACCCTAAACTAAGCCATCCGCCTTCTTTATATAGCTTGCCTTGTCGAGCTTCAACCTCCAGCGCGTATCCCGGCCACATGCAGCAGCTTCAGCCGGAAATCTCGCCATGTGCAGCAGCTTCCTCCGCGAAACTCGGACTCGTTTGAACTGGCGAGAATATGCTCTGATTTGGCTCGGATCCATCCTTGTTTCTCGGGATTTTGGTCAAGCTGGAACTCGACCTCGTCGAACAGAACGTTTTGTTGCTCATGATTGGATCGTTGAGACTGAATGGGCCTGGGCCGCACGGTCGAAGCATAGCCAATTTAGCTTAGTTTGGATCTGCCTGTTGGACTTGAGTGGGCTGGATTTAGAATGCCAAATCCAGCTCCAACAATGATGTTATAGTTGCATCACTTAATATAAATGATACTATTAATTTTTGATACAGTTATTATAATTAATTTTAAATATTTATATTATTTTTTTAAATTATATTATGACGATATAATTTTTATAAATATTTTCTATTAATATTATTATTTACCTAAAATTGATTATATCATGTCAATATTGTTTTAATAAACAAAAACATAAAAATTAATCTTATGAGTTAAAACTAAAAAATAATAATATTATTGGTTAAACCTAAAGAGAAAATTAATTTTCTTGGTTAAAACCAAAAACAAAAAAAAACAATTGACCAACTAATCAAAATATTAGATATTTAAGTTTCAATATATATAGACATGTTTCTTTCACTTTTTTATCTATTAGGAACAAAGTAAAAAAAATTAGTCACATCATTTATAACTGATATAAGTAATATATCATTTCTTTAAATGATGTTAATCAAAATAATAAATTACATCAATCATTTCACTGATGTAAATTTATAATTTTGTATCAATATAGTTAATATAGTTAAAATGATGTAAACTAATATAATTTGTATCTATTTTATTAAGTTGATGTTAAAATAGTCCAAAACAACATCAGTTATCATAACTAATGTTAAACCATTTATTTTATATTATTTATTGATAACTTTGTAATGTTATTTAAATGATGTAATCAAAAGAGGACAAAAATTAAAATTCGCATAAAAAATTATTCTTTCTAGAAATAATTTCTCCTTTTATTTTATAAAACGTGTTATTCTAATATTTTATTTTGTTTTATAGTGTCATTTTATATTTTTAATGTAAAATTTTCAATTAAATCTCAGTTATATTTCTATTATTTTAGCTTATTAATTAAAGAAAAAAAAATAATTTAATGTATTAACAAATGGCATAGTAAAAATTTATTTTCTTAATTTGTGAATAACACTTTTTAATGAAACAGAGCAAATAATATTTAATATTAAAAACATAGAGACTCTCTCAAGAAGAAACTCAGAAAAATCCAAAAATGTGCACAATCACATTATGCATTACTTAGAGAATTACAGAAAATAGATGATACATACATACATATATATAGATATATAATAATAACTATACCTAACTACTATAAAGATTACATCCTCGTGTGGACCGACGTCTCTGACAGATATGACTTCAATGTTGGGTCTTACATATTAAACAAAAACAAAATAAACCAAAAAATTTCGAGTTTCACATAACTTAACGTTACGTATTAGTAACTATTTTGAAACAGAATTCAAATGTGACGGCAACATAATTAATTATCCTGCAATTTGTTTCTTAATTCTATCTCGTTGAGATGATGAGAGAATTGCATCAATGGCTTCTTTAACTTGAGATATATCCGGAGCTTTTCCTCCTTGTGCCGGCCAAAACTCATCGGCCGCAAGTACCTATTCATAGAACTCTATGTCAGTACTTGAAAAGCCTAATTATATACTTAGTCTATTTCAGTTTAAATAATGTTTAACTATATCGGTTAAAACAATGTATAAATAAAAAAATATTTTATCTTAAATAATGTTTTACTGGTTTCAATACAAAATTAAATTCCGTTAAAAAAATTGTTTTGCCTTTTTGTGTCTTTTGATCTTTTTTATAATTGGTTGAATTATTTTAAATTAGATAAGAAATGATGGTTTTTTTTTTTAAAGTTTTTATTGAATTCATGTTTTTCATAACATGTGTAAAATCTTTAAATATGACTTAAAATGAAAGAGCCAGAGTATGAGAGTATGAAATAGCATATGATAATTAATGGAATGATTGTTAAGAATAATCTACCTTTACTTGTACTTGAAGAAATTTGACATAGCCAATTGCTTTCTCAAGCATAGTCACCAAATCAACCTTCATAAACCCACCATAAAGAACAAAATCATTAGTACATATGGAATCTTTATTGTTCTCTACATTTGAAATTTATAAGGTTACCGCAGAAGAGCATCTTCAACCCTACTCTATTTTCAATTCCAAATGCTATTTTGGAGTAAAATTCTCTCTAACCCTATTTCATTTTCAACTCCAAAATAGAGTAAACCTAAATTATACTCCATATTTGGAGTAGATCTAAACTCTATTCCATTTTGGAGTTCGACTTTTTTATTTGCAAATTAATCTTTTTAGATTTAAAATATTATATTTTATAATATTTAATATTTATAAAAAAATATTATAAAATTGATAATTATGAATATTTAAACATTGCAATTATTCCAAAAAAAATTACAAAATGTAATAAACTTTAAAATACATAATAAATGCTGAAATTAAGATAAACAATATAAATAAATTTAAGACAACAAATACAAAAAATATTAATGATAATTTTTTTAGTAATAGTAATGTTTAAATAAAAATTACATATGCAGTTTTGTGAAGTTATGTAATTTTTATTATTTGATAAATATTTAAGTTATAGCTTTTGAAAGAAATTGTAAAATATAAAATAAGTGGGATTTATTTGTAAATTTTAAAACTAAAAAATATTTATAATAAAATAGAATAAGAATTTATTTAGAATATTCCTTTTTGGAGTAGAAAATGGAAAAATTCATTGGAGTAAAACACAACTCCATTTTTGAGTTACTCTATTTTGGAGTAGAAAATGAAGAAATACATTAGAGATGGTCTAAAAATAATTTATATTATGTATTAACCTTGGTGCCATTGGGTACAAGTTCTTGCAATACTTTGAGGCGTTCGCTTATCCTTTCTCTTCGGTTCTAGACACACACAAAAGAAAACAGATATTCGTGTTGGTTAACTAATAGTACTTATATATATATATATATATATATATATTCTCAAATTCAAAAGATCAATATGGCACAGCATTTAAACCTTGGCTGCTAGGCTTTGTGGATCCTTTGGTGAAGTTGTTGCCTTGGGCTTGGCCTTCCCATTCGTACCGCTACACGGCTTCTTTAAAGCTTGAGTGTTCTGTCCCTGTATTGAAGATCATTAGATGGTGAACATTTAACACCTTCAAGTGATATGACTATCGTTGAGAAAGATAAATAAATCTTAATTTAAAGTCTTTAGTTATTACCGTGCAAGGACGTTTATTTCCAGCGGGTTTAAAGGACGTAGACTCGTGCCTTGAACCAGTGTTAACAATATTTGGATCAGAATAGTCTCCATTTTCATGGTTTGTCGCTGGTTTACTCAATCCGAAACTATCAGGGCTAATACTATCGAACTGATTATGACTCCAACCTGTGTAGCCGTTACTCATGCTCCCATCCAAGACCGATGCCGGAGGGGTAAAGCTTCGTAGATGATCGAAACTAAGGAATAACGAAGTGTTGAAATCCATCAAAGAAATATGATCTTCAATGGTTTCATTGGAAGGGTAAAACACAAACCCTTGATTATGTTGATGATCAGAGTTCATGGTGCTACTGCTTGAATCCGAACCTCCTCCGCCGCCGCCTGTATAAGCTACGTCTGTCTGATATAAAGCATAATTCTCCGGCGAGGAGTCTTCTGAAGAATTTGGTTTAGAGATGTAAGTAGGCTCATTGGGATGGTCATTAACGAGTGCCATTAACACTATATACGTATGGAATGTTGTGGGGAAATATCTAGGGCTTTTTTCTTTTTCTTAGATTTCCTTTGGATGGTATTGAGAAATCGAAACGACTAGGAATGGGTTTTAAGGTTGTAGATTGAAAACAAAGAGACACGATGTTTATGTAGGGTTTGTTGTCATAAAGATTTATATAAGCGGTTCTTTATATAATATTTTTAAATACTGAGGACATTAAATATAGGTTATATTTTATATTCAAGTCAAACTGATTAAAAGTAGAAGCTGGCATGAAATCAAAATAGATATTTCTCATGTTTATTAGTCTTATTAGTCGAAGCTTCGAAGTCATTATGAATGTAGATTAGTATCCACATGCAAGTACAATATTAATTTCTAATATTATTATTAGCGATATAAAAACCGCTTAAAAGCTTTCATTAAGATTAACTCACTTCCGTGGGATATTTAAATAAACAAGACTTGAGTCTTTCTTGGGTTTTACCTACCAAAACTTGAGCTTAATGTACTCTTATACTTTACAAGCCTTTATAGTTATAGATGATCTCGAGTTTCATTTAGGGCTTCAACTGAATAGTTGCATGCATCTTGATCAGGATAGTTGGCACTGAATTTGGCAAATCCGAATGCGTATACCACAGCATTTTAAGAATCAGATGCCACGATACATGTCATCATTGGGTTTTTAAAAATCTATGTTTCTTTATATGAAAAAGTTGCAACCCTAATATAATAAAAATGAATCAAAAGCTTAGAAATGCACTTAAGTTTATAAGTTAGATCACTATAAAGTAGGTTGACATCTATATATATATATATATATATATATATATATATTTTTTTTTTTTTTTTTCAACGGTTGACATATCTACATATATGTTAACAAAAATAGTTTATGGGAACAGAAATTCTTAATATATTAGAAAAGTATGAAAGAAAAAAATCAAAATTATTTGTCAAATGTAAATTAAAACGCAAGCATATATTCAAAACTTAAAACCATATAAGAAATGGTCACAAAAGACAACCAAATTTAAATTTGTGTATATAGTAACTTAGAAAAAAAAAATACTCCCTCTGATTTTTTTATTTGATATCTTAGGAGTTCTTTGGTTCAAAAATAAGTTCTGTTTTCAGAATTTTATGCAAAAAATCACTACTAAATAGCCTTTTTACCCTCAATATTAATTAATAAAGTAAAAACTTAACAATAACAAAGAATATAATTATAATAGGTGTTGTACAACTTTTCTTAATCTGTGTGTGAGCAATCATAAAACATCAAAAAGAGGAGTTGAGTACACATATATATATATATATATCATCCTATATAAAATAAAACAGAGGAAGTATCAATTGACTAAATTGGGAATTAGTGCGTCGATCTACACCCGCTATCTAATTAAATAGACCTATATATAGCACAGTCGTATCAAAAGTTGAGATATACATCTCGCAATCATTCTTCAAACTATAAGCATTCATGTATGTGTGATACATAGATATGTGCACTACTATTAATCTATCATGATGTCGGTAATGTAAACAATTAATGAATGTGGTTCCAAGTGTATTAACTAGAGTGATCTCTCATCGGGATTGTAGCTGGCAATGGTGAAATTAATGGACTGGGAGACTTTACAAAAGATAAAATAAATGGACAGGGATAGAAAACTAAAGAAATTAGAGACTGAAAGAACAAAGAAGCAAAAGCCTCGCCGTATCTTCCGCTAATCTTCACGTCGTTCTTATTCCCATTTGAAAACTCTTTTTCTCCCACTGAAGGTGCTTTGCGATTATTTTCTCAAATTTCCAAAAAGGAAACAATGATTTGCTACTTTTTTTTTGTTTTCTAAATTTTGAAACAAGAAAATCATAAAGCTTAAGTCTATCAAAGAGGGGAAAAAAAACTCAAAGCAACATATGTATACCCGTAGAAGAGACTCTAACAACTTAATTGGAAAACAAATGTTAAAATTAATTAAAAATATTAACTGAATAAAATATAATTAAATCGAACAGTGTAGCGCTTCAAAGTAGTAATACTTTCAGGATCGAAGAACATGAAGTACGAAGAATCGACGATAGAAGTAGAATATTAATAGTTAACGTAATTTGATGACTACAAGCTTTTGTTATTTTTTACAAATCTACAAGTTTGGTTGCACACATAAACTTTTGACATGTTAGGAATCTGGAAGGAGCCTCGTTTTCCGTTTCAAATGGTCTACTATAGACTTATAAGTTATAACCCAAGTTGCATGACATTCATTCAACTAATACTTATTTTATTTTCGCAGTGTTCTTGAGTTATGCGACTTATAATAATTACGAAATTATATATATTGCAAAACATTGTAAACGGGACTGGTTTAACCTCAGCTTTCGTAATATTCCTAGTTAGATAGACGTGTAAAGCTCACATAATCCATCTTGTTAAGAAAAATCAAATAAATGATTGAATATATTTGAATAACTAAGCAGAAATGTATAAAAAATGCCTTCCTAGTTCTATCGGTAATAAGCTCTTCAATTACTTTTCATATACCATTTATAGCTTTTCAAAAGAAAACCAACTATTTTGAGCTAAAGAAAATTCTTTTTTTTAACGCTAATTTATTATTTTATTATAAATTATTGACGGCTCTACCTACACTATATTAAAAATGTCATATAAACTTCTTTTCATTAGTAATAATCATACTTTCTGCGATTTGAAACTCATACATCTAATCTTGGTATTTAAGCATTAAAGAATCTTTGGCTAAAGAGAATTCTTTGAAAGAAATAAGTTTGCCTCTAGTGATGGAAACCCAACGTAACCTTTCCTCAGATGTCATTCTTTTTTTAGCCCAATAAAGTTTGCTTTTGGTTTTTTGTTATTATAGCCCAAACATGTATTAACACTAATTAACAAGTTCTAACCTTATGGCCATCAAAATATTCTTATCAAATTCTTTAGCAGTAGTACACCTTGACCCAGAGAACCCAATTGGAAATGATTCAGTGGATTTGCCTAATAATGTAATTAGGTACCATAATATTGTACATCCTCAGAGTCTCAGAGGAGAAATAAAATGTAAAGATCTTGATTAACCACAAGTCAATCAAAGTGTAATACACAGTCGAAACCTACTTATAATCTTCTCATACTTTTGACTAAGATCAATCTTAAATTATAGAACATCATATTTTCCTCTAGCCAGAGTAACTCAATTACTACAAAACACTTACTTGTTCCAGCTTTCGGGCATTGATAATACAGTATATTTTGTAAAAGATTTTAAAATAGTATAAATTTAAACTATAAGCACTAAACATTTATCTTCAAAATCAAAATTTAAACACTAAAAACTGAATTCTGAACTGAAATCCTAAATTCCAAACCCAAATTCTATAATAAAATGTAAACTTTAAACCCGAAAATAATGTAATTTTCTTTACTTTCAAAGAATTATCCTACTTTTCTAAGGTTAATAAATTACTTCTAAACAAATATGAATAATTATTAAATATTCCAATTATTATTCAAAAGCTGGAATAGCTCAGTTGGTTAGAGCGTGTGGCTGTTAACCACAAGGTCGGAGGTTCGACGCCTCCTTCTAGCTAGCGGCTTTTGTCATCCTTCTTCTTCTCTTGCGTTTTGATTTTAGCTTTTTACCAAATACTATTTTTTTTTTTTTTTGGGTATGAATGTTATACCAAATACTATTTGCCTTTTCTTCACATCACATGGCCCGCCGGGAGCCCAAACTATATGATTGTAATGTTCAACACAAATGATTTTGGTTTCCTCTTTATTTTTTGTCTTTTAAACTTGAAAGTGCTTGTCTAATCTTCTTGGAATGTGACAATATTACTTGTAGTAAGCTAAAATAAAACGTTAGTGTCCAGTATTGAACCAACAATGCTAAGTCTAATCTTCGTTAGAAACATTAAAAATGTGGGGAAATTATGTTTATGTTAGTTAAGTAGTAGGTGTCATGAATTAAATTCTCTAGATTCTGAACAGATTTGAAGGTCACTAGTTTTGTGGTTCTCAACATCATAATGATTCATTGTCAATCAACGATCAAAGCACAGTCACCAACTCACCATAACATAGGCTCGGTGTATGATATTTGATGTCATTAGCCTTTAAATTGAAAAAGATAAAACGATGTATATAAAATATATAATTAATTCGTCAGTTTAGTAATTTTTTTTCTTCATATTCTTACATATTACAAAAACTAAAATATTTGTGCATAAGCAATGGATTGAACCATTTGCATTGAATGATATAATTTGTAGCCCATTTGACTAAGATCAATATTCGTAATATTCTTTATGTAAATCTCTATTGATGATTATAAGAAAAATATAGTGAAAATTTTCCCTTTTTTATAGGGTTTTAGACAAATATTTTCTGACGACAAGAAAAAAAAAAGCCAAATATTTACTATGCGCTATGATCTGATCAAATCATTTTACAATGTTTGATTTCTAAAATCTATTTGGTCGAGGAGCCTGCTTTCGCCGAATCTTTGATTGAAAATAATAATTAGACAATTAATGCACCATGTGCGGTTGGTCTGCTCACAGTTCTGTTAACCGAATATATAACTACCCTAATGAATAAAATAAATAAATTATATTGAAATTATCCTTATCGACCAGTTGACCGAATTAAAACTTTGTGTATTTATGTAAAAATTAAACCTCAAGTATTAAAGTCTCGTACGTACGATTATTGATCTGATAAAGATTGTTTCATTCACTATAAATGTGTTTTTGGTTTTTACTACTTACCACCATTGTAAATCTATGGTAAATCTCACTCTCATAGATGAAACTATCATTTTTTATGTCCGTTTCTTTCGAGTTTGAATCTCCCTTTGAATATTGCTTTTTCTTAAAATTTGTAGCAATTTTTACTTGGAAAATAGAATTCATCTGTCAAAAAAAAAAAAAAAAAAATAGGAATCCTTTTTAAAAATTGAACATGCAAATTCTACAGTCAGATTTGAATCAAAACGATTTGCTATACGTAAAGTCTACGTACCACATGCTCCTCCGTGTTCTGGCCTAGAATATTCCGATTTGCCAAGGTGTTGGAAGATATTTTTCCAATAATTCAATGAA